GGTCTCAGTGCGCCCTGGGGGCAGGTCTGGCATGGGTCTGGGGTTTGTTGAGGAAAAGATGTTATACAAATTTTAATAGCTAAAATAAGACACAAACCCCAGCGGCTGCAAACCCCAGCTGCCGTGCTCTGCCTAAGCAGGCGCTTTAGTCCGCTGAGCTATCAGGCCGGCCCCTTGGCTAATATTTAAACTGTATTGGACCTATTAAAAAACATCAGGCAGCCCTTCTAGGTCAAAGACAGAATCTGTTTCATAAATTTAAAATGCTTCAGGAAGAAAATCATTATTATTATTTTTTGGTTTTAGTGAGATTAGAGGCTAAGACCAACCATTAAACTATTTTTTTTTAAAGTAGCAATTAATTTATCTGGGTTTTGGAAGTGGGACATTCTACAGTTTTTAGACACATAAAAGTTTATTCTACCATAAATATTTATCATTATGGATAGAAATCTTGTAAAAACGTACTTTTTATTTTCTGAAATCCAAAACAGTTACATGAACATGATTTGGCCATTCCTCGCACTGCCTCCTCCTTGTTACTAGGGGCTGAAACCAGGGGCATTTGCACTGAGCTACATCTCAAAGCATCCTACCCCCATGTTTATAGATAGGCTCTTACTGCTTGCTGAACTGCTCTAGCTGAGCTTGAACTGGCCTTTAGCTTCCCAGAGCGACAAGAGTACAGGCATGTACTACCACCCTGGGCTTGACCTTTTGAAAAATATAAATTATTGGGCCAGGGATAGCTGGGAGGTCTAAATGCCTGCCTGGCAAGCATAAGGACATAGGTTTGAACCCTAGTACTGCATACAGTGTGGTCCTGAAAGTGGGCATGGTAGCAAACACCTGTAATTCCAGTGATAGTGAGGCTGAGACAGGAGGATCACGAGTCTGATCTGCATAGCAAGACCCTGTACCAAATATTGAAATAATTTTAAAAATATAAATTATCATTATGCCATCAAGTATTCCACATAAAGCTACGCACAAAGTTATTCCACATAAAGCTATTACTATGCCATCAATTATTTCACATAAAGCTATTTTCTATTGATCTATATGTCTACTTTGTAATTCTTTTTTCAGCTGATCTTGTTATTATAAAGTGCTTAACTTGTTATTCTAATCTGAACTTTGCAGAGAAACATGCTTGTTAAAACTGTGCCAAGTGAATTAATCAATGAACATTATTTGTGCTATTTAAGATTGGCTCTGTGTGTGTGTGTGTGTGTGTGTGTGTGTGTGTGTGTGTACAGAAGACACTCTGGAGACTTAAAGGTTGTCTTCACTTAAACTGCATGGGATTTTTCCGAGGTCAGGTTATTTACCTGACAACTCAAGAGACTCATCTATCATTTTACATAATTATTTAACCTAATAATTTATTTCCTTCCTCCCTCAATATTTCCCTCCCTCTGTCTCTTTTTATTTTTTATTTTTTACTTTTTTGGGGCAGAAACGGGGATTGAACTCAGGCCCTTGCACTAGCCAGGGAAGCGCTTATTCCACTGAGCCATCTCCTCAGCTCCCTCCTCTTTCTTTTGATAGGAGAAATGGAACTCAGGAACTTGTACTTTCCAGGCAGGCACCTCTGAGCATATCCCCATCCCTATTTCTGTTCTTTCTGATTCTTAGCTATGCTTTCGATAACTTGATATTGCAAGTAAGCAGTTCTAGCCTGTTACAGTCTTTATACATTAAATGATTAAAAATATAAAATGAAAAATTTTTAAAGTAGTATCTTTAGGTACTTAAGAGTTGAGTGAAAGAAAATGAGTAAATGCAAATGAAAGGGTCAATACAAGCAAATAATAATAGTGGTTGATATTATTTAGAAAACAATCTATCAATATATCTATTTTTGGAGACAGGCTCTTACTTTCAATCTGACATTTGTTTTAGACCCTCTAACTGTACAAACAGATGTGAAATTATGATTCAGAATAAAGCAATATTTAGTATTTTATAGTGATATTTTTTTTTTTTTTTTGAGACATGGTCTTGCTATGCAGTTCCGGCTCACATGGAGCTCATTTTATAGCCCTGGCTGGTCTAGAACTCTGAACAATCCTTCTGCCTCAGCCTCCTGAGTGCTGGGATTACAGGCATATGCCATCATGCCCAGCACTACTTTATATTACTAACTAGAAATTCTCTTTTTTTTTTTTTTTTGTTTTGCGGAACCGGGGATTGAACTCAGGCCCTTGCACTTGCCAGGGAAGCGCTTATTCTACTGAGCCATCTCCCCAGCCCCTATGACTAAAAATTCTGTCACATAAAAATGCATCTACTTGGTCTTAAGTATTATGTTCATTTGTTTTCACCTATAATTTTGAGCAGGTGTTTCTTCAAAAAAATTGAATTGAGTTTTAGAAAAGCAACAAATACTGAAAACAAACCTTGAGATTCTCAGTAGAACAGAAATGAACCATTTTGCTATAACTTTCTTTTTTTTTTTTTGGTGGAACCGTATAACTTTCAACACGTGCTAAGGAATATAAATTCCATACAACAAAAAAGGGCATAAATGGCATCCCTGACCTAGAAATAGTTAAGTAAAATTTTAGCAATGTATGATGATGATCTTTTAAAAAGGGAACATCAAGAATGCTAGAGTACTAACACTAAGCTAATCTGATCATTTATAGAAAACAGCATAACTTAAAATTTATATACCAGGGGGACAACCCGTTTAGGCCCCCCTCCTGTCCCTCTCTCGGACAGGAGCTTTCTTTCTCCCAATAAATATATCCTGCTCATAAAAAAATAAAATTTATACACCAGTTTTCTGAAATAAGGCAAAAATTTATTTTTATTACTTATGTAGTAACATATTTTGCCTAAATGTAAAATTTGTGGGGCAAAAAGTGCCAATGAATCACCTTTCACACCCAGAGGGTGCTTAAAAACAGGCAGTGACAAAGCTTCTGCTAAAGCATATATATGCATGTTGACTTTAGACCTTCCTGTGCTCTTCTATATAAGGTTGCAACTGGAGCAAATTAATTGTGTTCCACAGCAGAGGCACACAAGCTGGACAAGAATCTTGTTTCACTGCTCAAAATAAGAACTGTGGAAATTTCTACAGAGCTAATACTGTGGAATTTTCATGGAATAAAAACTTTAAAATTTCTAGATTACACCTTTTTTTTTTCCTCAAATAGGAAAAACAGTCCAGATTAATCCCAAACAAAATGATCTTAACCTAAAAGATTTTACAAACGCCCTCCCAAATGTCAAAGAGGGTTCTTAAGACTACAAATTGAGTAAGGGTCATGAACTGGCCTGAACCACATAAGTGGTAGTTTTATGAATTACAACAAACGCTGCTGCTCTCTAAAAATGAATGTATCAAAGAGGAAATAACCTCGTTGGCAAGCTTAAAGCTACACAGTCGTCGTTTCACTGCTCGCAAGTGCCGCACTGGAGCCTCCAAGTGAGTCAATGGGAGGAGGACCTCAGTCACAGCAGCAAGCGAGCGCACTGAGCAGATGACAGCAGCATGCTCGGAGTCACAAGCAAATGAGAGGTAAGTGCTGGATAATTAGGGATCTACTTTAAAGGGTTTGCTGGTAGTGTTGTTTGGTTTTTAATCTTTAAAAACTCTGCTTCCATAATCTTCTATTTCTATTTAGTGGCTTTAAATGAAAGATTTACTAATGTTAAAGGAAAGGTTTCTAACATGGGACTTGTAAATTTAAAACAAATGGTTTTATCTTCCTCTTAGTTTGTCCTCCTTAAGGGAAATGTAGAAAGTTTAGGGAAAAAATTAGTACTTAAGCAAACAAATGAAAAAGAAGTGGAATGGCTCAAGTTTGGCAGATGTAGTGGATAAGTTTTTAAAAAAATACTTGACAGAACATGCTATGAAAGGTAAAATTACTAAAAACAACTATTTGGATATTCTACCAGTAGTTATATTTTTTTCTCGAACTAAAGAAATTCCAAAACATGTTTATAAAAATGGCATTTAAATCGGCAAGAAAAGTTAATCAGGCAAATCATTACATATAAGGGTTCCTAGCTGGTAAATAATTTATTTAGATCTTAAGGAGACTTCCCCGGTGGGTGGCCAGAGTGTAGGAACTATTTAGTGCTTTCCTTTTTCTATTTTGTATAGGTAAAGGTAAAAAAGTTGTCAGGGGTCAGAAAAGAGTTTTTAACAACTGCTGAAAATTAATGTATCTCATATCTATCTATCTATCTATCTTTTTTTTTTTTTTGGCAACGGGGATTAAACTCAGGACCTTGCGCTTGCCAGACAGGTGCTTATGCCTCTGAGCTATCTCTCTGGCCCCTGCCATTAATATATAGAGGCAATTCAGGAATATATATATATTTTGTGTGTGTGCATGCGTGTATTGGCTGTATTAACACACACACAACAGACCTACAGAGAAGGGAGGGGCTGCTAAGTTCTAGTGTTTTCACTGCTTTTTAGACACAAATGTGATTTACCTATCTGTATCTAGGGGAACCCTCTGGCAGTCAAGTTCAAATATAATTCTACAACTACAGTGAGTAAGGCAAAGACAAACCAATCATTGACTTTTTCCCCCAGCTATTGATTTCTTTCCCTGAGCCTTCTGAAATCTAGAAAATATTAAAACTTAGAAGTCTTACCTAGAAATATGGAGAGACGTGTGTATGCTATCATTTTAGAGACCATGAAATTTGTTTTTAATTTGTTTTTAAATTTTTTTAAAGGAAGGAATCAACTTTGGCTTTGAGTGTCTGACCTGGGTACGATTCCTTAAACAAGGAGATGACCAGTTTAGCTATTGCCCATGGACTGAATCACAGAAAACTGGAACTGGATTGAATCAGAAAAACAGCGAATGGCTTTCTTTTATAGGATGTCTGAACAAAGCAAAATTCTCAAGCATGTTTTGCAGAGTACACTTGATGGCTTAATCTCTTCTAACTGGTCTGGACTGCAGAAAGGATCAATACCAGAGGAAATGAAACAGATTGTTGAGGAACAGAGAAATAAACCACACTGGGCAGCTCTTCTGATACTTGTGGTGATAATACCCACCATTGGTGGAAACACCCTTGTTATTCTGGCTGTTTCACTGGAGAAAAAGCTACAGCATGCTACCAATTACTTTCTTATGTCGCTGGCGGTGGCTGATTTGCTGGTTGGATTGTTTGTGATGCCAACTGCACTCTTGACAATAGTTTTTGGTAAGTATTTCACTTTGTTTCTGCCATTGAGCCATAGAACTACATCGAGTACTATTACAGAACTGGACAGTTATTTAATCGTTATTTTACTTAAAATAAAAAAAGGATTTGAATTACACTTGAACTACAGAGCAGGTAACAGCCTCTACTTTTCATAATTTTTATGGTCTATAATCAATTTGAAAGAACAAAAAATAATTTCTTGGAAATGATCTTACTCCCTCTTCAGCCATCCAAAAAATTATTTTCAAAGTCATAAAAGTTAGCAATATTCAAAGAGTCTGTATACATTACCTAGAAAGTATAATTACTGCACCTGTACCTTAATTTTTCTATCACTTTTCCCATAACAAAGCAGTAATTAGAACAGTTTGGGGCTAAGTATGTCTTCGGATAGTTATTAATTATAAGGTCTTTGAAAAATAATCACTGAATCTCTATATAAACTGCTAAACCCCACGTGTGTGTGTGTGGCATTGGAGACTGAACATGGAACTCTGTGCTTGCCAGACAGGTGCTTATGCTGGTGTGTCTCTAAGCCCCAATTTAAATTGGGAATTGTTTTAAAAATTCTTGTTACATCTCTTTATAGTTTATGACTTTGAATTTGAACACAATTCCTCAAATGTATTATATTAAGAAAAAAATGATGTATCATTACTAAAGGAAATGGTCTGGCTCAGAGTAGCCCAAGAGATGATCCACTTGTTTAACTTTTTATGATGTCCAATCATCTGTGTTCTTGACAGACCTTAAAGTTAATAAAATAAGTGGACCAAACCTGAGTTGTGATAATAAAAAATATACTTTGCAACTGAAATTGGTTATAATAAAAAGATGAAATTAAAATAGATAAAAGCAGTTTCTAATTTATGCATATCTCACTTCTAGTTATGAGATCTGAGTAAACACTAATTTTACTCATAAATTATAAGGACTCCTACCTCAGGACCAGCATTAAAGAGATATTTAAGTTAGTTAATTTTTGATATAAATTGATACTTCATTCTTAAACTGCTTAAGAAAAATGACTACTTTTAGTAGGTATGGCTTGTAGGAACTGTATTTACTTATATGGTGAGGATAAACATTTTAAGATAAAGTAAAATTAAACTATAATGTACAAATTTATTAAATTAGAAGGCAAAGACAAACTGCTATTCAGCTCTTTTCATGAGCAAAAATGGAAAGATACCTGAAATTACTTGCTCTCCCAAATATAATAGGATGGTGATGGATGGGTTTAAATTTTTCATTGCAAATCAACATTATACCATCGATGAAAATTCTGGGTCAGAATAAGCAATAATAAATGAGGTCCTACTGCTTTCATTACATTCTCTAATCATTCTACTAATATTCCTCCTTTTATTATCTTTCGAATAATCTAATGCTACACAGAACTTCCAAAAAAAAAAAAAAAAAAAAAAAACAAGTAAGGATTTTATAGAAACATATCTACATATTTGTTAAAGATTGCACAAAGTAAGATTTAAGTTCTCTTTTCCGTCTTCATAATAGTGGCTCAAACTACTGAATTACAATTTAACATTTAAATACTCCTTCCTCAGTCATCCAAAGACTTCAGCAGTCTTACAGAAAATGTCAACATGCTTATCTCATATAAACTTTAGCTAATGTTATGGTGAATAAATAAATGAATGAGTTATACAAAAGTAAATTTTAACTTTAAAATTCATGAGTGTAAATATTAAACTCTAAAATACTGTAGTAATTAAATTATCAGCTAAATACATAAGGAATGTTAAAAGATACAGCTCCTCAGTGAGTTGACCAATAATATAAAAACACATAATAAAGATGACAAACTCCATATATCCTATAGGAAAATACTATGTATCCCAGGAACTGAAAACTTAAAACAACATTTTAGCATTCAATATGTGGCATTATCTTCATATTTCTTTAATACTTGTATTTAATAGTATTACATGCTTTCAATTGTTTTTATTACACAACTAAATCGCAGCCTCACCTTTAATAAGTAATTTTGCTAGTAAGTGGGTTAATTCATTTTTAAAAACTTAATTTCTGATTTAAAAACACTACTGCATGAATTCATGTTTTAATATACGATTCTTGTTCTGTAAGAAAGGTACGAGGAAATGCATGCTGTCCTCCACAAGCTTCACAGGCTACATTCATAAATTGTGAACTACATACATTATAAATAGGGAACTGACTTCAAATAGTAAGATCCTTATGTAGTCTTTTACACAATGATAAATGTGAAGACTTTCTAAAATAATATATTTAGAACTTCTGATGGCTTTAAAAGGCAGAAATAAGAGGGTCTCCTCCTCCTCCTCCTCCTCCCCCCTTCTTCTTCTTGTATTAAGGGACTAATCTTCAGAACTTCTGAAGTCCACCAAGAAGTGTCCTTAGTTCTGTAGCCATACAGGTTTAAATATTCCCCATCTCAGGGGAAATTCAACAAAAATAATACAGAAACTTTATGTCAGCTAGCACTCTAATAAAATTTTAAGCTTAAAAAAAACAGTAAAATTAAAGAATGTCCTTTATACTGAGTGTTATTTTATTCAATCACTGATCTGTAGTATTTAATTACATACTACTTGAGTTTCTATTTTACCAAGATCATGACTACTGGGGCACAACAACCTTTCAAGTAAGTTATGCTAGGTCATGAACACAACTCAGCAGCTTACAACATAAAGCCTGAAAATGTGTGCATTAGAAATACCTGAGCAGGAAAAAAAATGCAACATCTGATGCTGATATTAAAAAAAAAAAAAAAAAGATAGGATGTACACTTAAGAACTTCTCAAGTAGGACATGGTAGTGCATGCCTATATTCCCAGCACTCTGGTAGGTTGAGGCAGGAAGACTGCAAGTTGGAGCCCAGCCTGGGAAATTTAGTGACTCAGCAAGACCTTGTCTCAAAGCAAACAAACAAACAAAACAAAACAAAAAACAAAAAGCAGCCGGGGATGCAGCTGTGAAGGCTCTGGATTCAATCCTTGGTATCAACACAACAAAAAACTAAACAACAACCTCACCCCCAACCCCTAAGAATTTTTCTTCTCTCATCAAGTAATTAAAAATACGATGAGAAAATACATGGCATTTGATCATCCATTATTTATATAACCATCCATGTTTTGGGATCTATAAGTTGAAATAGTATCAGTGGAACAGTTAGTATAAAATGCTTGAAAGGTTTTTGAAGTGAGACATCCTAGTGGTTTCCTTTTTTCTTTTTTTTGGCAGAACTGGGGATTGAACTCAGGCCCTTGCACTTGCGAGGGAAATGCTTATTCTTTTTTTTTTTTTTTTCAAAACATTTATTTATTTATTTATTTATTGTGTGTATGTGTGGCCAGCTCAGCCCACCAGGGGGCGGGGCTGGCTGGCATGTGGTGCTGGGGGATCGAACGGCGGTCCCTGTGCTTTGCCAAGCTTGTTCCAAGTAGGTGCTTTAGAACACTGAGCCATCTCACCAGTCCCGGAAATGCTTATTCTACTGAGCCATCTCCCCAGCCCCACATCTAGTTTGACTCCTGGTTCTGTGCTGGAGGCAATAACTGAATGCCTCAGAATCCCATCAACTTGTTTATAAAATGATACCTGCATTTTATACTGTGGATGAGACTGTGAGGTAAGGCCCACCATGCTGCACACACTAACGGGCAGGTGTTGGTGGAGCAAGCAAATTAAACATGTAATTTAGTTGTGATAGGAGACTAACCAAAGACAAAACAGATATACAGTCAGTAAGTGGAAAAGTCAGCTATGCAATTAAATGCTACTCTGTTTGATTCTGAAAGGGGCAAGGCAAGGGAAGCAATTCTTTTTTGGAAAGTAGAAATTTAAAAAGCCAACCAAATATTTCCATAAATATTAAATTATATCAGATGTTATCATATTGGACATCTAATCCTAGGATATTTTCTATGTATAGTAGAAAAACAGTAACGAAACAAAACAAGCTTTGTAACAATAATTTAAGTACTGAACTATGTCTTTCTTTTCTGGAAGATAAAGAAGCATTAGAATTTCTGAGATTAAGACAAAACATGCAGAGTTAAGTGACTGAGCAAGTCTCTGTCTCAAAATAAAAAATAAAAAAATGGCCATGGATATAGATCACTGTAAAGGCCCTGAATTTAATCACCAGTAAAACACACACACACACACACACACACACACACACACACACACACACACAGAGTATATTTGGAAACTATTATGTTTTATAACACAAAGGTGATTTCAGATGTCTTTTTTCAACAACTTCATATATGATATACTTCTGTAAATTCTATATGCATGGGTTTCTTTTCATGCATTTAGTACAGGGTCTATAGGGTCTGCAGGGTCTCACTACACAGATCAGACTCATAGTGATCCTATTTTCAGCTTCCCAAACACTGGGATTACACGTGTATGCCACCATGCCCAGTCTCAATCGCAGTCTCAGTGCACCCTGGGGGCGGGGCCGGCAAGGCACTTCATAGGTTTCTTGAAGTTGACTTTTTAAAAGCCTTAAACCAGCACGATGTTGCCCCTACAAGGACAGCTACTCCAGAAGCCAAGATGACAGGATCATGAGTTTGAGGCCAACCTGGGCAACTTAGTGCGATTCTATTCCAAAAAGGAAAAGAGTGGGACTGAAAATGTAGCTCCATGGTAGAGTGCTTGTGTGAAACCCTGGGTTCTCTTTCCCAGTAGCAACACGCGCACACACACACACACACACAAGATGGGGACAGTTTATGCCCCAGATTTAGAGATAGATGCTAAACATTTTCTAATGATATAATGTGGCATTCCAAACTAAAAGATTTTTTTTTTTTTTTTGTTCCTCGAATGCCTTCAGGGCACTTTTTTTGGCCAGCGGGAGAGTTGTGAGGTTCGAACTCCAGCAACCTGAGGCTGACAGCTTTGAGGAAGCAGCCACTTAAAGGACTGAGCTAGGGCCAGGCCCCCTAAAAGATTTTTAGACTAAATCAAAACAGCAACAATACTGTAACCCCCAACCCATGGCCTGGCCCCCAGGCATGGCCCAATTATAGTATATATAGGTTATTTATGTTTCTGTGCTGCAATAAACAGCCGTCGATATTCAACTTTAGTCAAAGACATAGTTTCATGACAAATTTAACTTCAAATGAAAGCATTATTTTCTCTTTCTTTTCCATGCCTCTGACCAGTACAGTCTTAAGGTCAATCATATGCACTGTACACTCGTGGCAGAAAGACAAACTTACTTTAAACTGAGGATCCGGCTTATTTGAGTTTCTTGTTTTCCCACAATTGGGTTGGCTGTCTAGGTTCTGTCAAATAACAGGGATAATACCTGACATTTTACTGAGTTCCTTCCCTATACTACAAACTGTTCTAAAAACTACACATGCATTCTGTACTAAATCTGTAACCCTATAAAGCAATCCTATACAAAAGATACATTTATCCCCACTTTGCAGAGGACAAGGGAACAAAAGCACTACAAATTTGCTCAGGATCACAAAATAAGTGACAGAGATATGAAGGAAGCATTAGAATTTGTGAGCTCAGGGGACTGACACCACAGTTCCGAATGAACTGCTACTTCTTCCACTCCTCTGCTTTCTCAAACACAAAAGAAACATGCCATCAAGGCAAACTGTCATATTTGGTATACAGAGCCAACATGTCTCTTAACTCCATCTAAAAAGGGGTTAAGTAATTTCCCCACCTTGGGAAAAAGCAGAATTTTATCTTTTTCAGTTAAATGTATATTTTACATAAAGGAGTATAGAATACTGTGATCTCAACCAACATTTGTCTGAATCCTTGAGATGATGACCCAGTGCAGACCTATGCCTGTGAAGTTGCTGAACCTCTGGGTTCACCCCTTTATGTGAAGTATACATTTAACTGGAAAAGATAAAATTCTGCTTTTTCCCGAGGTGTGTGTCAGCACGCCCGATTTCAGTGGCTGGCTCAGCATGCAATACCAGGGATGGATCCCTCGTCCCTGCACTTGCTTAAGCAGATACTTTAGTCCACTGAGCTATCTCGCCAGCCCTGAAGGATTTTTATTAATTTGATGCAGTTATCGGTTACTTAATGTCAGTTTCACTAGTACTTCATGAAATACAGAACGTTTTGATTCTTCTCCTAGCCACACAGTAATTGTAATTCTCATTTTTTGCTCTAAAAGTGGAGTTTATAAATAAATTTGTTGTACTGGAAAGTGACAGGCTAACCAGTTTCACAGACTTAGCAGTAAAAAGCTTTCCTTTAGCTCAGTTAGAAGTATGTGGGTCAGAGAGTCAAATTCCAAAGACCCGCGCTTTTACAGAAGACTTCTCTTAAGGCTTCCTGCTCATGGCTGCAAGATTTATGACTAGAATTTTCCAGACCATAATTTTCAGAAGAGGCGTATTTAATTTATTAGCAATCCTTTTTAAAAAGATCATACAGAGAGAACATGCACTTAAAGATGCCACATAATAATTAGTCACCTTTTTCATCACTCACTGGGATCAGTGTATCTGATTGAACTCAAAACTTGACTCGGGCTGGGGCGCTGCTCAGTGACAGAGCACTGTCTGGCATGCGCAAGGCCCTGCGTCGGACCCCCTTCCCCATTTAACTACCCATAAAAACAAAATACTTGAGGACTTTTCTGTCTTTCTGCTTGGAGTCCTAAGTCTAAAACTTCAGGTCAGTACAGAACATAGCCTAGTTTTAGCTTCAAAACTCTCAGTCCTATGTGATTCCTTTCATTTTATTCAGTCTTACTAGTTTACTTTAAACTTAAAGCAAGGAATGTATTGTTACTTTTGTCCAAGATCATTTTCCACCACTGAAAGAAAATCTGAATGCTAAGTTTAAGGAGGAGAAAATTAAAGTGCTTAGATTCTTTCTACACACAGGTTTCTCTGTCACACTTTTATTTCTTTGTTTTGAAAGGCTTCCCTGGTCTCTGGCCATCCCACCTGAATGCATCCACACTTGTCTGAAAGCCCTCCCTAAGTTCCATCTTGAGGTACTCTGAGTACCTACCCTACACCAACCAACCTGGTGCATTGAGATTCTAAGACTAAGACACAACCTTTCCCAGAAAATCTTCCAGAACATTGCAAAATAATGTTTAAAATGGTAAACTGAACACACATCTATAATCCCAGCACTCAGGAGGCTGAGGTAGGAGGATCACTATGCAGTCAAGACCAACCTGGGATACACAGTGAATTCAAGACTAGCTTGAAGTATACACAACAAAAATAAAAACAAAACAAAACAAAAAAACCCACCGCTAACCTGGTGCTGACTAAACTGCTGCTGCCTTCAGGGGTGGTGGTGCACACCTGTAATTTCAGGACTGGGAATGCTGAGGCAGGTGGATCACTATCAGTTCTACCTGTGTAGCAAGACCTTTTATCAAAATACACTCAACAAAAAACTGCTGATTTAGAAAAAGTATAGTTATTATTTAATGAGGAGCTTGTATTTAAAAAGGTGTAATCTATAAAAATAACTGTATTTAGTACCACTGTATCCAAGATCTAAAGTTAAGCATAAAATTGAAGTTAAACTATAAACTGAAAGTTGCCATTCTGCAAGAGAAAATGTTTCTGGTTTTTTTTTCTTTCAGAGGCTATGTGGCCCCTCCCACTTGTTCTGTGTCCTGCCTGGTTGTTTCTTGATGTTCTATTTTCAACTGCATCCATCTTACATCTCTGTGCCATTTCAGTGGATCGCTACATAGCCATCAAAAAGCCAATCCAGGCCAATCAATGTAACTCCCGAGCTACTGCACTCATCAAGATTACAGTGGTGTGGTTAATTTCCATAGGTATGTGGAGAATGCCAAGGTATGGGTGGAGGACACAGTCTTTAGTTCCTTTTGGGTAGGAAAATGACAGGTCAGGAAACTGCTTGAGGGGTCAAACAATGCCATCTACTGATGTAGCCACACAAGGTACTTATGTCATTACATTCACTTAAGCCATACTACCAGCAAAACCCATGAAGGCGTAGAGAAATTCATGTCCTCAGAAAGAACCAACTTCACAGTGTTTATAGTATCGTCCCACTTAAACCTGGGTATCCAGGAAGGCTAAAATGAAGACGTCTTCATATCTGACAATAGTAGATTAAGGTCTAGCTAGCATAAGAAATTCTACAGTCTTGATAAAGTAACAAAAAATTAAATGTACTGTATCTTAAATCACATAAGATAAACAGAAAAAAAACCATTTAGTATTAAAGTTCATAAATTCATCCAGGAAGCCAACATTTCAGTATGTATACAGATTAAAGGCAGATCCATGTCATGCACTCATGTTTTAAATATATCAAAAAGCATTAGGATAGATGCAAAGAGAATATTAAACTGATGTTCAGAAATAATTTATAGGAAAATAAATCACATTTCTTCCAAACTGTTTTATGGTCTTGTGCTTGTCTTTACTGCTCAAAGACAGCTTCTGTACTAGAATATCTTGGCATGAAGTATGGCACACGTTACTCAAAGCTCTGCCAAGTTAATATCAGAAAAAAAGATGTGCAACAAATACAACAACCATACCAGCATATTTACTTTTTCCTGGTAAAATAAATTTAGATGAGGAAAAAAATATTAAGAGAACTGGAAGGCTAAAACATCAAAAAAAAAAAAGTACTTTCTTTTTTTTGGTGAAACTGGGGATTGAACTCAGACCCATGCGCTAGCCAGGGAAGCACTTATTCCACTGAGCCATCTCCCTGCCCCTAAAAAGTACTTTCTTATCAGAGCAAAAATATAGGCAAAGAGCAAAAATGAAGACATTGAAATTGACCTTTATATGCCAAACTTCTTTGAAAAGTTTGGAGGTAAAAGCAAGGAGTGCTATTACTACTCTGGCATGGCAAGAAAGCAGGGTCAAGGAAAAATCTACTCAGAATGAAGAGATTTGCAAGCAGAGAGAAAAGGCCAGTTGAGGAATGGGCTGATTGATGAAGCAGTACAACCAGTCCCTGCCCTCCCAAAAAGCTAGAGAAAAGGATGGGAGACAATGGATGATAATTAACAAAATTTGAAGTAGAAAGAAAAAAACAAGCTACTCATTTCAAGCTACCCCTTAATTTTGGTAAACTCATGGCAGCGAGGGAGAGCGAAGAGTGCAAGGCATGTTGGGAATAGGTCAAGAAAAACAGGAGAAATGGATCCTTAAGAAAAACTGGAACATTTGGAAATGTGAAATATAATAAAGCTAATATGATAGTGTGCTGGCTAAAAGAATCTAAATTAAGCCTAGATAACATGGACTTATAAACCGATCAAATTTGTATTAAATACCTATAACATGGGCCGGGGAGATGACTCAGTAGAATAAGCACTTGCCTGGCAAGTGCAAGGGCCTGAGTTTAATCCCTGGTTCTGCCAAAAATAAGTAAATAAATAAACACCTGCAATGTGCTAAGAATACATGAATACTGAATAATCTTTGTACCCAAGGAAAGCAGATATATAAGCAAACTACAATGCCACAAAGTGGTAACATCTGCAGGCCTAAAAAGAAGACTCAAGTTTAAAGATTTGAAAGGAATCTAAGAAATCCTTCTTTTATAGATGAGAAAAAGTAGTCCGAGATGCTTTACTTAGGTAGGTGGCTTGAAGACACCTGACATCTTGGCACCAAGACTAAGATAAAAGCTCTTTTTACCTCATCATGCTTTACAGAACCAATCACAATCTAGAATCTTTTATAAAAAACAAAACACATACAGGATTAAGTTTAGCTTCAAAATTCTACAAAATGTAGGAAAACTCACTTTTTTCTTTTGAATTGACAGTTATCCTAGTGCTATGGGTCGAACGTGGCCTCCATAACACAGGTGTTCGAAGTTTAATCCTCAGAGTGACAGTACTGAGGTGGGGACCCTTCAGTGATTAGTGCAGGAGGGCTTTGCCCTCTGGAATGGATTAAAGCTGTACTGAGGAGCATGCTCACCCTTACAAAGGACAAGTGTGGTCCTGCTCTCCCATGTGATACCTTCTGCCATATTACGAAGCAGAAAAAGGCCCTCACCGGATGCAGTCCCTAGATCCTAGACTTTCTAGTCTTCAAAAATGTGAGGCAAATAAATTTACATTCATTATAAATTATTTGGTTTGTGGTATTCTGTGGCAGCTGCACAAAATGAACTAAGGCACCTAGGCAATAATAAGTATAAAAACAAAAGGGTAAGGATATAAAAAGTACCAATGAAAACTCAAAAAGTACTGGCCAATAATCAGATAGGAAGGCAACGTACACCTTAAAGGGTGAGTCAGTAGAACATGAAAACAGAGATGGATAGCTGCACTACAGGTCAAGACAAAAGTAAAGAGAAGCTCTCTAGCCATGACAACCAGTGGGACAACAAAGGAAAGATCATGGTTTTTTCATAGGGGATCAAATTAAGTGGACTTATGGATGGCTTCAGGAATACATTACAGAGTTCAAGTCATATAAAATTAAGGTGTCAGAAGGGCCATTCATGGGATGAAGAAATGTCCTAGAGGCTCACAGATGAGCTGGATGGAAAAGAGATCAACATGAGTACATTAAACCGACTTCAAAAGGGAAGTGTTTGGGACTAGAAATAACAACCATGACCAGAACAAGAGTCAGCAAACTTTTTCTACAAGGGTCAAGAAAGTAAATACTGTCTGCTTGTGGGTTCCATGTAGTTTCAGCAATATTCTCAATAGCACTGAGCAAAGACAGCCATAGATAACACACTACTGTAAGTGTGTGGAGTAAAGCTTTTACAAAAACAGATGTGAGCCAGATATGAGCCCCAGCTGGGTGTGGTGGCCCATATCTGTAATCCTAGCACTCAGGAGGCTGAGGCAGGAGAATCCTTTCAAGTTCAAGACCAGCATGGGCTACAGAGTGAGCTCAAGGTCAGCCTGAACTGCACAGCGAGATCCTGTCTCAAAAGAGAGAAAAAAAAAAAAAAAAAAAGAAAGAAGACATAAGCTTTCAAGCTGTAATACACTGACCCCTAGTGCAGAACAAGTAGAATCTTCTTTCTGCCTGGAAGCACAGCAGTGGCTTCCATTAACAAGGGTTTGAGGGAAATGTTCTTGTCAAGGGCTCGTCAGCTACCACGACAAGGCTGTGCAGATAACAGTGCTTTTGGATTCATAAAGTAGTGCAGTATCAAACAAAAGATCAGCTGATTCAGACATTTAAGGAATATCTGCTGCATTAAAGGGAAAAGACTCATCTTAATCCTGTGTTATTCATTCCACTAAGCTATGTACTTCATTACATAACACCATACGTAAATAGTTACTCATGATATTTAACGTATTTAAAAATTTGCAGGATGTACCTTTCATTCATGCTAGAAAACCTCTAAATCTTACCAACAGTAAGTATTTTTGTGATTCTGGTACCGGGAATCAAACTTAGGGCCTTTTGCTTGCCAGGTAGGTGCTGTGCTACAGAGCTGTATCACCGGCCCAGTAAGTACGATTTTTAAAAGAAAAAAAAGAACCCTTTCGTTTTCCCTAAGAAGTTAAAGGTTTAAAAGATAGTCACACACACCAAGAAAGATAGTCATAAATATTAAATATAAAATTCAAACTGTATAAACTCAAAAAAGGGAGAATTAAGATGCTTAATGACTGACTGTACTCTGAGTTCTCTCTATATCAACCACTGGGTATTAAGATAAAAGCAGCTTCTTTCTGAATTCCTTTTCTTTAACCTGAGATAACTCAAAAAGAGCTTATGAAAACTAGAACAAATAAAGAAATTTCCTACTCTATCATGCATATACTGTATAGGTGTGGGGTAGCTTTTATTACAGACCTCAAATCATCAACACTATGGTGATGAACCTATGTGTGCTGCAGCTCACTGGCTGTTATCTAAAAGGTTTACCATCACCACACTAATCAATTTAAAGGCAGCAGACTTAGGTTCTCCTTGTCAAAGGTCCCCCTAATTATGCCTGTCAAGGTTTTCCACTGCAGGTGCCAGGAACTACAACGCATTTACCAGCATAAGATTCCTAGGAAAAAATCTGAAAGGGCCAAAACTGAGAGGTATAGGTCATAAAGTGACTCAACTTATCCTGTTTCCTTTTCCTTAGGCATTGCCATTCCGGTCCCTATTAAAGGGATAGACACTGATGTGCCCAACCCAAACAATATCACCTGTGCACTGACAAAGGAACGTTTTGGCAATTTCATGCTTTTTGGCTCCCTGGCTGCCTTCTTCACACCTCTTGCAATCATGATCGTCACCTATTTTCTCACCATCCATGCTCTCCAGAAGAAAGCTGACTTGATCAAAAACAAGGCATCTCAACGTCTAATGTGGCTGAACGTGTCCACAGTATTCCAAAGAGATGAAACTCCTTGCTCATCACCTGAGAAAGCAGTAATGCTGGATAGTTCTCAGAAGGACAAAACTCTGCCCAACTCAAGGGATGAAACCCTTATGCGACAGACGTCCACCACTGGAAAAAAGTCGGCACAGACCATTTCCAACGAGCAGAGAGCCTCAAAGGTCCTTGGAATTGTATTTTTCCTCTTTTTGCTTATGTGGTGCCCTTTTTTTATTACAAATATAACTTTAGCTTTGTGTGATTCCTGCAACCAGACTACTCTTGAAATGCTCCTGGAGATTTTTGTGTGGATAGGCTACATTTCCTCAGGAGTGAATCCTTTGGTCTACACCCTCTTCAACAAGACATTTCGGGATGCATTTGCCCGATACATCACCTGCAAATACCAGTCTACAAAGCCAGTAAAAACTGTTAGAAAGTGCTCCAGTAAGGTCTACTTTCAGAATATGACAACAGAGAACTCCAAATTTTTCATGAAACATGGAATGCGAAATGGAATTAATCCTGCCATGTACCAGGGCCCAATGAGGCTCGGAAACTCAACCATTCAATCTTCAATCATTCCATTAGATACACTTCTCCTCACTGAAAATGAAGGTGACAAAATTGAAGAGCAAGTCAGTTATGTCTAGCACATCTGGTACAGTTTTCATCTAACAATGATAAGCAAGCTGATGAACAAGCCTGCAAGAATATGTAAGGAAGAATTTTAGGTCACATGTCAAATCATCTCTTCAAAGTAAGAGTTAAACATTACAATTATTTAATTTTCTTGTTTGGACAAAATAACTCCATGAAAAAAATAATTTTGTACAGCTATGAACAAAAGCCATCCAGGTTAAATATGGTTTTCAAATGAAATAAAATCAATAAATTTCAGGCTTACAAAAATCAATTTCATAAAATTTATTTAGTTCCTGGGTCTGGAAAAGATAGCTCAGTGGCACAGCACCAGTCTGGCAAACACGAGGGCATGAGTTTGCTCCCAGTACAAAAAAAAAAGAGAAAAGGTTTAAAAGATTTTTTAGTGCCTAATTATATGTAAAGTTGTGCTAAGAATGAGATAAAATAAATATTAGTCTTGTCTTCAAGAACCATAAAAGCATAAGGCATGAACAAGTGACAGGAACAAGGACTAAAAATAAACACACAAAACAATGACCACATCTGGAGGGAGTTAAGAGCCACTTATACTCTGATTAAGTTAAACATGGTTGTAATTTCCCTTCACTCAGGAAACTGTCTTGATAGAAGTGAAGGAGCACAGTAGCCAGATATCCCATGTAAGAGATCTTAGAACTAGAACTATTATCAGGCATCTAACCTGCAGAGGGGCCTACTAGAGAAGAAGGAAGCAAATAGAACTGCTCTTGAGTAGATGAATCATGCTCCTTGAAGGTCTTGATAAGCACAGTCAGGACAGATGCATCGGACCTCAACAGTAAGCAATCTCACAAACAGTCCATGACTGTGTGTCTTTGCCCAGTGACTCATTTGAAACAGCACAAAATTTTTCTTTCACCCTTTTATTATTCATTTTGCACTGCTAGATCTGGAAATGAGCCCTATCTGTGCCACTTAATAGAAAGCTGATGAATTTGCAAATGACAACTTCTCTGAGCCTCAGCTTTCTTATCTATATTTTGTGAAGTTCTTATGAGGATACAATGGATATACAGTAGGCACTCAGTAAATCGTAGTCAATTCTGTCGCCTTAATTTTTTTTTTTTTTAATGCTACTCCTAGAGGCAAAAACAAATTTAGGCTGAGAAAGTCAGTAGTAAGGAGAACCCACACTTAGCCTTACATTTAAAGTTGAGCCTTTTGTTCTATCACTGATTCTTTCTGAACAACTGAGTTTAGGAAATTACCTCAAGAAATGTGTTGGCTATGGAGTGTGTCAGGATAAATGAAGGAGGAATATATTATACCAGTGGCAGAATGTTTTCCTAGACCATGGATCCAATACACAGATCCCAATCTGTTACCTTCACTTATGGGTTTTTATATCACCTGCTAGGAAAAGTATATTCCAGAAATTTAATTCCTAAATTATCAATGTTTAAGTACTTTTTTCTCTACTGGTCTAAGTTTTTGTTTTTCTTTCTTTCTGTTTTTTGTTTTGTGAGATAGGGTTTCATTTCCTAGTCTAGGATGGTCTTGAATTCACTATGTAGTCCAGGCTGGCCTCGATTGTACAGTAATTCTCTTGCCTCAGCCTCCTGAGTGCTGGGATTGCAGGTGTGCACCACCAGATCTAGCTTCAGCAGTTTTAAGGTTGGGTTATATAATTTATGTTCCTTTAAAAACAAACAAACTAAAAATCACTGGTTATATAATTCATGTTCCTTTAAAAACAAATACTAAAAATCATTATTTTAGTTTCAGAATCTAGTATCATGAGTTTGGCATATGTAAAGATTTATATTCTAACCAAATACATTTTGGTTAGAGATTAAGTTTTCATATATTACAATGACAACAGTTATTTGAAAATTTTTATTTTATGTATGTGAAGCTACACATAAACCTTTCAAGGAATCTAAATACCATAGCTGGCAATCCTACTGCCAAAGCTCTACCCATGTGCAACCTAGATGAGAATAACTATCCTTCCACATGTTCTGTATTGCTTCCAAATGTCTGTATGTGCACCTACAAAATTAGCTATAATACCTGAATTCTACTTTGCTTCAAATCTTTTTTAAAAGTTTTTTTGCTTATAATCAACTGAGATTTTTCTATAGCTAAAGAGATCATTCTAATACTTCCAGAATATCCTACAAGATGAAATACAATTTCAGTATTAATCATTTCTGTAAAAGCATAGAATACAGCTATTTAAATTAACTTAAATTTTTCATTTTGTTTTATATTATTATCTATTAGTGGTGAAAAGAAAACAAAAGTGTGCAAAATAATGAAAAAGATAAAATATAAGTAAGGAAAATCCATAGCATCCAGAACATAAACAGTGAGCCTAAAAAGACAATGGGTCAGAAAAGAGAAAAGTGTAGAGTAAGTATGTACTAAGTTGACATAAAATTGTAAACGAGGGGCTGAGACGTAGCTCACTGGTGGAGCATGTGCCTGTCTTGTGGGAAGCCCTTAGTCTGATCCTTAGAACAACTAAACAACAACAACAAAAAGATTTTGAATGGAGATGATGGTAGAAGTGAATCTACATTTGATGGTAACTGGTTAACTGCCAGGGTTCCTTCAAATGATAGACTATAATCATATATATATATATATATATATATATATATATATATATATTTGAGGGCCAAATAGCTCAGCGATTTAAAGCGCCTGCATAGAGGTGCAAGGGTTGGAGGTTTGATCCTTGGGCCTGCTGTGCCAGCCCCACACCCAGGGTGTGCTGAAACAGCAACTGAGACTGGACGTGGTGGCATGCACCTATAATCCCAGGTCTTGGGAAGCTGTAAACAGGTGATCACTATGAGTCGGATCTAGTAGTAAGACCCTGAACACCCTGTAGACCCTTCCCTAAAAATACAAATAAATGAAAATAAATAAAATAAAAAAAATTTGTACCAAGTATCTCTCATTCATCTTGCAAAATCCATCTATTTTGAAAGCACATAATATATACACTGAAAAACATTTCATTTCATATTCTGAAACAATTAGATTCTATTCATTTCCAAATGAGTCAAGCACAGTACTATACAAAATTATTAGAATAATAAAATCTGCTGACCAGATTGCTACAACAATCACTTACCTACTAGGCATTACCCTATGAGTTATTTAAATAAAAGTTCATGCATTAGGTTCATTTCAAATTACCAAGAGTCTGCCATTTAGGTGTCTACTTTTACCATAAGCACTGTGAACAAATAGTAACATAAATATCTTGTGAAAGAAATAGTGAAAAATACTACAATTCTATGGACTGTCTGAATAAAGGAGCTCACAAAAGCATTCATGAGAATTTCACACAAAGACAATTTTATCTTAGGTGGTAAAATACAAATGTTTACTTGAGCTGGACATGGTGGTGTATGCCTGTAATACCAGCACTTAGAGGAGATTGAGGCAGGACGACTGTTTTGGGTTCAAAACCAGCCTGGGCTATAATGTGAGATCAAGCTCAAGCTTGGGCTTGCCAGCCTGAACTGCACAGCAAGACCCTGTCTCAAAAAGATACAAACAAACCAAAATAAATAAATAAATAAATAAATGAATGAATGAATGTTTACCTAACAGGTTTATGTCAAACATAACCTGAAAATGAGTTTTAAAGAAATTAAGAAACAGGGGCCGGGGAGATGGCTCAGTGGAATAAGTGCTTCCCTGGCAAGTGCAAGGGCCTGAGTTCAATCCCCGGTTCTGGGGAAAAAAAAAAAAGAAATTAAGAAACAAATCCTTAAAATATGGTACAAGGCCAAATGCCTTCAAAATCACTTTAAAAATGACAGAGAGGGGATGGAACATACACTTAAGAAAGTACATGAGAATATATAAAAAAACAGGTTATTAGTCCTAAAAAACAGGACTATTCCCAAATATTAAGGTTAATGAAGGAAGCAGAGAATAAAAATGTTCTATCAAAGGGGCCGGGGAGATGGCTCAGTAGAATAAGTGTTTGCCTGGCAAGTGTAAGGGCCTGAGTTCAACTCCCGGTTCTGCAAAAAACCAAAACAAAACAAAACAAAAATGTTCTATCAGAGCCTCTTGAATAGCACTGGAGATATAGCTCAGCAGGACAAGTACCTGACGGGTAAGCGCAAGGTCCTGATGTCCTTAACCCTACCATGGGGGGAAAAAAAAAGGGAAAATAGGGCTCTGATGGAAATGCAGTGGAGAAAGTCAATGTATTATGAAACTACAGAAGCTAGCTCCATGACAATGGAAACTCTGTTCACCATTTTGCAATTTTTTTTTCCTTAGCTTTTAAAAATATGAGAATAGCTGCACTTGGTAGTACAAATAATCCCAAATACTCTGTAAACTGAAGCAGGAGGAACTAGATTGTTCAAGGCTAATCTCAGCCACATGGTTTAAGGGCAGCTTGAACCGGTGAGACTGTGTCAAAAAAAAAAAAAAAGATAAAATAGCACTAAACTAAAATCTACTGAACTTGGTTTTAATTCTAGCCTCTTAAACAATTTATTGTATTTAATTTTATTCATATATAAAATAAGTTCTAGGAAACATCTCTAAAGCTTTTCTAGTTCCTACTTCTTAAGGAATCATATTATGGAAGGAGAACTCAGGAAGTCCCGTGTAAATAACAAGAACTCATAATTCATTAGTCAGATCAGACTACCAACCATGGTACACAGGCGGGAATCTAGCAACACCTAAGAGTAGCTCACGGGAGACACCTGCTGCTGCAGTTGGGAATTTAGCACATGTGGTACCACAGGACATACAAAGGCAGAAATAAATTGTTAGAATTCTCAGATTTAATGCTCAGGTTAAAAAGGGAAACAAACAAACAGTTGCACGAAGTCCATCAACTGCCTGTGTGGCAGAATGTACACACCAGGGGACTGACTCACTTAGACTGAGGTGAATACAAAGTCACTGGCAAGAGGAAAGAATCTAGACTTACAATGAAGAAGCAAAACAATGTAAAAGACAAGTATGAATGATTATACAACTCAACAGTTACGAAGGGCATACTTGATGGAATATACTTTCTACACTAAAATTATCTAGTTCCCCAATAATAGTTATTTAAAAACAAATGACAAATCATTTTAAAAATGTTTTTAATAGTAAATAAACTTTAGCAAGACTAGGGAAAGTGAGGTTCACAGTTTGGATGGATAATGTGTCAAAGATGATAGGAAGGGAAGAGAATCACTCAGCTTCTACTTCATCCTTTCTCAAGGAACATGATCATATACCACAAAGTTAAGATTCATTAAAATGTAAAACAGTGAAGAGACTGGCTGCCTTAGATCTGAAATTTCAAAGCTAAGTAATAACCTTCCTGAAATAGAATGTGTTTATAGATGAATTTATGGAACTCCAATGGCAAGTCTCAGAGGAAGAACAGAAAATGGTAAAGATACAAAAAGACTGTAAGTGCCCAACTATTCAAATGTTAAGACAAAAAAACCCAAACAAACAGCCAAACAAACCTAGAGACAGGACTCAAGAAATTAAAAGTATAGTGTCTACTGTGTATCTTTTTAAAAAATGTAAGATAGCTTTATACACACACACACACACACACACACACACACACACATTTATTTATTTTTAAAATATATTTGGATGTTGCAGGGTCTCACTACGCAGCTTGGACCCATGGTGATCCTCCTGCTTTAAGCCTCCCCAGAGCTGGGATTACAGGTGTGAGCCAGTACACCTAGACACTGGCCGGCTCAGCCTGCCCTTGGGTTGGGGCCGGCATGGCATTTGGTGCCAGGGATCGAACTGTGGTCCTTGCTCTTGCCTAAGTTGGCACTTTAGTCTGCTGATCTCACTGGCCCTAAACACATACTTTTTGTAAAATCTTAGAAGAGGCAACAACGAACACCTGACATTTCTATATAAAATGACCCAGAGAAAGCCTCCTATCAAACTAATCCTGTATCAGAGGTACAAGACCAAAGCTGGGTAAATATGTTGACAGGATTCAGTGAGTGTTTTCTGGTCTAGAGAATAAGTTGGACAAATGAAAAAGGTAACAGTCCAGACTTGGTGGAGCATATCTATAATGCCAGCACTCAGGAGGCTGAGGCAGGAGGATTATTGCAAGTCTGAGGTCAGCATGGGTAACATAATGAGTTCAAGGCCATCCTCAACTACATAACAAGATCCCATCTCAAAAAAACAAAAAGTAATAAAAAGAAAAAACAGAAGAAAAAGGATAGCAGTGAGATTATTTGGTTGAAAAATCTCACTGAACAGTGGTATAAAAGTAAACCCGTTAGCATGCTATAAGCTATATCCTCTACCCTTATTTTGAGGCAAGACCCAGCTAAGTCACCAAGTTGGCCAGGCTAGGTTTGAATGTTTTATCCTCCCGCCTCAGGCTTTGAGAGTACTGGGATTACAGGTACATGCCACTATGCCTGGATTGTTGTGTGTTTTTGTGTGTGGTGCTGGAGATAGAACCCAGAGTCTCACGCAGGCTAAGCTAGGATACACCCCTAACCATGCCATTGTTATCCACAGTAGAAAGAAAATATATCAGTTTGCAGTTAATGGACGGACTGCTTATTTGCGATGTTACAGAGAGGGTTCCAGCCTGACTTATAGTGGATTTTCACAAATTTACATTCAGTACAACACCATCTATACATAAAATTTCACTCCCAGAAAACAAGGTATGTACCTTAGGAACTGATCACAAAGAACCTACAGCACAGGGTTCAAATAGTAAGTATTTTGAACTTTCTTTCACTGGACTTTTACATCAAGTACCTTAACTAAAAGAAATACTGATGTTTGAGATTGGAGTTAAGCAGACAATGATGAAAACTCCTACATTCATCACCACCAACACAACTCTGACTAGTGTAACGACCACTAGTAACACACACTTAAATGTCATTTACTAGTGCCAGAGACTTTTCTAAAGGCATTAGATATAGTAATTTGCTTTACTATCACAAAATCCAATATTCTCTAATATACACTATTATCCCCATTGTATACCTCAAGAAACTGAGGTTAGACGAGCCCAAGTAACTTAACTAAAGTCACTCAGTAAGAGGCTGAGTCAAGAGTCAACCCAGGCAGACGGGTTTAGAGTGTTTCTCCTTAAATACAATCACACTGTACTGGCAAGATCATGTATATATCTATCTACAAGTCCAAAATAATTTTTAAATTTGTAAATTTTTATGTTCTTTGCATTTAAGCCAGGCCTATTATTTTTTATTTAGTTAAAGAGCTTTAAGAACTTAATAGACTTATGTAACACATAATATCCTAATTGAACTACCAACATATACAAAAATGGATACTAGGTCTTCTTTGGAATCTAATCAACAGAATCAGTTTTACTTCTTCACAAATACTTCTCAGAAATCATAGTATTTGTTCTTCTTCAGATGAAAAGGACTTATTACCAAAAAGTCCTCACTGTGAACCTAGATATGTTCCTAGGTATTTAGTTTTGGTTTAGCTGACCAGAATCCAAAGTTAGAAAGTATTACCTGAATAGAATGAAGCCAAGTGATTCGACTGCTGCCCTCCTAACATCATCATTAACATCGCTGACCTAGGAAGAGAAGTTGAGGATGAGTCTATCATATTATTCCTCTACTAAATTGACGAAGCTACCATCATCCTAATGTAGGTAGATTAGATGTCATTCCTTCATCTGAATCTTTGCCCTATGTACAACGAAATAGTGCACCTCAAATATATATAATAAAAATCTTTACATAAAAATCTTTAATGATGTATGTCTTTCAAAAAATGTCTTTCTCAATTTAGAAAAAAAATCAGCTAGGTGTGATGGTACAGACCTATACTTCTAGCACTTGGGAGGCTGAGGCAGGTGCACTGCTGTCCTTTAGGCCAGTGTAGGCTACAAAGTAAGCTCAAAGCCAGCCTGATCTGCATAGTGACTCTCAAAAAAAGTGAGAAAAATTTATTCAAGCTTTTCTATTACTTATGCAGATCAAAATTTAGCATAAGCAATCGTGAATAGAATGAAAATGTTAACCACTGTCTTAACTATTGTGGGTGATTAAAAATGAAAAGTTTTCGAAAGGGCTGGCCAAAAAGCTCAGTGGATTAAAGTGCTTGTAAGCAGGTGCAGAGGCCGGAGGTTTGATCCCTGGGCCTGGCATGCTGGCCCCATCCTCGGGGCTCCCTGAGATGGCAATTGAGACTGGGTGTGGTGGCGGGCAGGCACCTGTAATCCCAGCTCTTGGGAGGCTGTAAACAGGCAGATCACTACGGGTCCGATGATCTAGTAGTGAGGCCCTGAACACCCTGTAGACCCTTCCCTAAAATACAAAAAAAGAAAAGAAAAAAAAAAAAAAAAGAATGAAAAGTTTTGGGCTGGCCAGATAGTTCAGCTAACAAAAGTGCCTCCTTAGACAGGTGCCACGCCAGCCCTGCCCCCAGGGTGCACTGAGCCAGTGATTAATACTGGGCGTGGTGGTGTGCGCCTATAATTTCAGCACTTGAAGAGGCTGAAAACAAGAGTATCACTGTAAGTCTGATCTGTGTAGTGAGACCCTGTACTAAATACATTTAAAAAAATAAAATAAAATGTAAAGTTTTAATTTGGCAGATTTACCAGAGAAATTAAGAGAAATCAAGTGTTGGAAAGGATGAAGCTTAGAGCTTTGGGAATTATAAGTGACTGTTATATCTTTTGTTGTAGGTTTGCAATTTATGAACCATTAGAATTTAATCTCTTTTGCATGCTCGTCCAGTTGGTTGGGGATCAGACTGTAGTATAAATTGGTAGCTGCATCTGGATGGATGCTTTTACAATGGTTAAATAGTGAGAGTACAGTAGTACTTCTTGTGTCTGGCACCATGCAGCTGTTAAGATGCTAGTTTAGATGCTTTGGACATTCTCATCAAGTAGTAGTATGATTTTATAAGGTGTGACAGTACAAGCCTTTATTTCTAAAACTTCAGAGGCTGAGGCAGGAGGATCATCCCAACTTTGAGGCCAGCCGGAATTACTGAATTACTGAATTACATGGTGAGACCCTGTCTCAACCTTTCAAGCCCACACCCCAAAAAATCTAGTAAGACTTTACTAAAATATAACCAGATTTTAAAAATTTAGGTCATGAGCAAAAATTCTCAAATTTATGTAAAAATTATGTACAACTTGATATTAACAGAAAAGAGTCAGGTGTGGTAGTACACCCTTGTAATCCCTGCACTTGGAAGGCTGAGACAGGAGGAATGCCATGAGTTTGAGGTCGGCCTAGACTCCAGAACGAGCCTGTCTCAAAATAAAAAGAAAAAAAAAAAAAGAAAAAAAAAGGAAAAAGGACATTGGAGCAGCTTTTGATGTTTTTTAATCTTCATTAGAGATCCATAATTTTGTTCCTGAACAACCTGTTCAGCACTTAAGATTGCTTTTGCTGATGCCTTAAAAATAGGAAAAAGTAAGTTTTTATGAAAGCTAGGAAAGAAAAAGTCCATTCTACAGCTAAGAGATCTCTTCCTCTCAGGAAAAAGTACTGGTTTCTTTTAATCCTGGCTTTCAATTTGTGAGATTACTCTATTTTTAATACTACAACTTTATTTCTTTCAATAAATTCTAAAATAGGAAGACAGGGTAACTTCTCATTTTGCACAATAGTTTTTCTGGGTTATACTGAGAACCTAATCATTTCTTCAGTGTTATATGCCCTAAGTTCAAGCAAAATCCAAATGTTTAGGGTTCAACACACACTGAAGTGATAAAGGGTACTACAAATAAACAGTGTAGGATCTGAGTATCTCTGGAAAGAGGGGTATCAGTCTAAACCTTTCTGCAAGGAAGATGACTATAGATTTACCCATTCCCAACACCAAGGCAATAGAAACCCATTAAATCAGGACATCTGTGGAATGCCCATTGTACAACCAGGGAGTATTACTTACTCTAAGTAAACTACATCTGGATTGAGCAGCCTTTGGAAAAGCCCAGCTGGAGAAGATGAGCTCATCTTTCCTTCACCATGCTCTTGTAATACAGCATGTTTGGAAGGTCCCTGAAAGCTAACTTCAGGGGCTGGGAAAGAAGTGGATCCTTATTCATTAGATTTCCCTACCCTAGGATGATGACACTTTCTTACACAGTCTTGTTTCTCACAAATGATGGTGTCCCTTAGAGCAGGGTTTCAGAAATTGTACTTAAATGTCTTTGAAGACAACCACTTACACTGCCATACTACTCCCCTCCCATTAAACCCAGGGCTGAGAGATGGACTACTGTTTTCAGTGAATGAGACCAGAGCCTGAGACCATGATAGCACCGATGTGCTCTGTGTGCTGCAGGTACCCAGATATTCACTCTCCATCTGGAAACCTTCCTTCCTCTCTATTACCGGAAAAGTCAGGCTACTCACAGCAACATGTAGCAGGCGTCGAATAGCTTTGTTGTTACCAGAGCCACAATAAGCCATGGCCACTGTATACATTCCAGACCTTCGAAGAATTGGGTCCTAAGAAAGAATAATTCAACATTAATCATCAACTATCACTTTAAAGAGAAATTGCTGAAGCTACAGTTTTGCAAGCCTGTGATCTAGCCCTCAGGAGGCTGAGGTGGGAGGATTGCTTGGACCCAGGAGTTAGAGACAGCCTGGAGAGCACAGAGACACCCCATCTCAAAACCCAAAAACCCCATAAAACAAAATCTTCCACAACACACAAACTCCAAATAAACAAAAATCAGAACTGTTACCATGCAAAAGGCACTGTGGCATCTACTAGGTAAGCTGGTTCTAAGTAGGAAACTATAAATTCAAGGAGATTTGTGTCTGGTAGCTTTCTAAACAATGGAGAAATTAAAGATTAATACTGAAATTTTAAATTTCCAATATTCTATGTTATATATCTATTCTACCTAATACTTTCTAGGAAGTATGAACTCAAATTAATATTAACACCTATACCTCCGTGATAGTCACCTTCCATTTATTAAATAACAAAGAAGCTGACTTGTAATTATATATTCTAAGTCACTTTTACCTCACTATTTCTGAGCACTGAGCACTGAGGGAGAGATATGGAATCCTACAATGGAAGAAATGAATTAATCAATCAATAAACTCCAGCAGTGTTTTGTTTTTGTATCAGACTTTAGAGGATAGGGCTAGGGATGTAACTCAGTGATACAGTGCTTGTCTAGCATAACAAGGCCCTGTGTTCAATCTCCAGTACTCCCCCCCATACACACACAGATAAGATTTTAGAGGATACAGACTACCTACCATAGCCAATATCTGCTAAAAAAACAAAAAAGGCCAAAAAAAAGCAAAAAAAAAAAAACAAAAAAAAACCCAACAACAACAACAAAACACACCTTACCAAAATAAAGACCTAGAGATTGTTGCTGTGTCCTGATGAAAGAATGTGGTAAACGTTGTACTTACTAAATCATTCCTAAAACACTTCTAAGGGCCGGCCACATAACTCAGCAGATTAAAGCGCCTGTGAGCAGGCATAGGGCCCAGGGGTTCAATCCCTGGGCCTGCCATGCCAGCCCGGCCCTAGGAGCGCAGTGAGAGGCAACTGAGACTGGGCGTGGTGTCATGCCTATAATCCCAGCTCTTGGGAGGCTGTAAACAGGCAGATCACTATGAGTCCGATCTAGCAGTGAGACCCTAAACATCCTGTAGGCCCTTTCCTAAAATACAAAAAAATTTAAAAAAGTAATAAAACTGAAACATTATTTCTAAAGGAAATCAATTTATAAATTCCGGGGGCCTGGCCCTAGCTCAGGCCTTTAAGTGGCTGCTTCCACAAAGCTGTCAGCCTCAGGTTGCTGGAGTTCGAACCTCACACCTCTCCCGC